GCCTTCGAAAATGAAAACAATTAGCAGTGTGTAAGGGCTGAGTAATTTCCTGTTTGTCAGACGCTTCGTTTTCGCGTCACTGTCAAAATTATTGCTACCTTTTACTTAACAGGAACTAAATGGTCTCTATAAAACAATAATCAGGATCGCAAAAAAGTCAACTCATTTAAAACACTTGCCGGACGTCTCTCTCTCTTCTGAAATCCGCCTCGGTGATCATGGTCCGGAATCTATTTCTTTCAAAAGTGTTTGTCGGCGTTTCTCTTTAAACCTAGTTTTTTTTTCATGGACGAGGACAGTTTTTCCAAAAAAAGAATCTGAGGCTAAGTGGCTTTCGTCCACTGATGTCGCACATTCGGATCGATTAGAAACGTGTGAATACTTACACTATAACTATACGTTTCACTGCAACTGCCCACAACACAACATCTAAAAACTCTCTCTCTCTATCTCAAAAAAAAAAGAAAATAGACAACAAAAACGCCGACTGAAAAATGTATATCGTTTAAAAGTATACTGAATGACCAGTGTTATTACGGCTCAGGGGTATGACTTCCTCTCACATTTTGGCATTTGGTGGCGCACTTTCGGCGAGAGTCGGAATTCCGGAAACAGTCGACAGTTTCAGAATAGGTGGGCGTGGCTACAACACGAGAAATATCCCAAATTTACTTGGATACGAGTAATCATTTTCAGCAAAAAGATCAATAACTGCCCATTTCAGTGGGATACAGATCTAAAGTGGGAAATGTGAGGGTGGGCATTGCACAGGCACTTTAAAAGATGTCTGTCCATAGTATTCTTCATGTAATGAGTAAATTTTTTTGAAAGACTTACTCCTGCTGGTTTCTGAAAAAATTGAAATTCAATCAGATGAGAATAAAAAAAAGGGACTTTGTGATTCATCAGTGCATGTGCACAATCTATTTCAAATTGGATGGCTGGCAGTGTGAAATCTAAACAGGACCAGTCAAAGTGGAATCCCAAAAATGAAAGTTGGGTCACCTTGTTGACTACTGGAGAACAAGATATTCAAGAAAAAATTAATATTGTATGTGGCTGTAGGGAGACTTTAAATGCATAAACTACTGTAGAATACTTTATTTTCGCTTGGAATTTATTTTCGCTATTTTCGCTGAAGGGATGTTTCCGTGAAAATAAAATCCAGCGAATATACTTTTTTTCCTATATTTTACATTAAACTCATCAAAAATCAGTGAAAATAAATTCCACACAAAACACCCAAATAGCCTTTTCAGCGAAAATAAAGTATTCCACAGTAAATTGTTGTGACATCTTGATTTCCTTTGTTTTTATGCTAATTTTGTTTATAAAATATGATTTCATTTTATCAAATTACAAATTCTATAATTACATGTGTAGTAAGATTCACTCTATACTTGATACTTGTAACAACAACAGTTACAGATTACATGTATGCAGGGATTTTTTTTAAACAAGGGAACAGGGGCGCAGCGCCCTCATGCCATGCGCCTGCTTACCTGGGCAGCAGATCCTCCGGCAACCATAAAATTCTGATTAACCAGGGATCACATGTGTCCACAGTCTTCAACTGTGACCTGTCTGATAGTAAGGAAGCCATAGAATGCTCCATTTTAACTTAGAATTATCAAAAACGCAACACCCAGGTCGGGAGAACCCTATCTCCCCCACTTGGTGGCGCCGCTGAATTGCAGTGCTCCCTCTCGCAGTTTTTTTCTACAAAACCCCTGACATGTGCAGTAAGATTCACTTCATACTTGTTATTTGTAATGTTGTAACAGATTACAATATTGATGTCATTGCAATCATTTATGTGTGGTAAGTTACATTGTTACTACATTTGATGTGAAAAAGAAAATAAATGTCTGAAGCCAATGTAGATGCATGTTTTTCAAATATGGGCGTGGGTAACACTGTTCAAAAGATTTGTTTTCACGGATGGCTAAATTGTATTTACTGCTAGATGTGATTATTTTTATTTTTTTTGTCATCAGGCGTGTCCCTCTGCAGAATGTAACAAGAAAGTAGTGGAGAACTCTGATGGTAGCTACAGGTGTGAAAAATGTGCGAAAGAATATCCAGACTTCAAGTACAGAATGCTGTTAGTTGTAAGTATATTGTAATCATTAACTTTTTTTTTAAATATAATGTATGCGCTGACATAAATGAGAGGTGCATCTGTGGTCAAAATGTCATTTTAATAGTTACATACACAATTTGTTCATATGCACATTTTTGTATATTCTGGGACATGTATGTGTTCTGTGATTAGGATTGTTCAACACGCTGCTAAGACGCATACTACTGTACAATGTATTTCTACAGGCTCTGTGCGAGCTTGTGTGGAACGCAGGTCGAAAAGCCGCTGAAAACGACTAAATTCAAGGAAACATAAACTCAACTTTGAAGTAATCCTGAACAGCCATATTTATATATTGCTGTACACACAGGCGTAATCATGTTACCCTGTTCAGGGGAGTCTAAATAACCATCTCAAAGTACTGTTTTCTGAAAGTTTTCGACTTTGGTTTTCACCGTGATGGTTACCAGGCGGTGAAAATGCCTGGATGTCCGCCCCCAACATTACACATTATATGCTTTATTTATAATTTGATTTCCTAAATTATATGCTAATTATCAATCGTCATGTCATTTCAGATAAATACAGTAGACTTTGGTGATGGCCAGTGGGTAACGTGTTTTCAGGATCAAGCACAAGTTATATTGGGAGGAAATACAGCTGAACACATTGGTAGCCTTAAAGACAGTAATGTAAGTTACATGCTTCATAGTGTTGTCTATATTTTATTGGGTATGTAAGAATTTCTCTGGTGTCTGAAATATCTGAATGATTTTCACTTGTCAAGGACAAGTAACCAGACTTGCTTTACTATTGTGAACTCTGTATTAGAAGCTGTGGCTTTGATTAAAATGCTACAATGCAACAGAGGGGATGCAGCTTTTATTACTCATATCTATACATATGAGTAATGGTGATTTTTGAGTTCTCAATTGCTCAAAAAGAATGGGTATGGCTTATATTAGACATGCAGCTACTAATACACTGTACAATAGCTCAAATCGAACTTGTTAATGCTGATGAAATCGTAACTTTCTCTTTTTAGCTCCGCTGTCGACTTTGTCGAGCGGGGCTTATCATATGAGTGATTGTCCGTGTCAATGTTTTACTTTTTCGACTTCTTCTTCTCTAATTTTGATGAATATTTTTGTCATTTTTGGTAAAAAGTGATATTTTCGACTTCTTGTTAAAAACCACAAGTCCAATTGCTTTGATATTACATATATAGGTACTACATGTGGACCACTCTCAAATTTGTTCATTTCATGATATCTTCAATTATCTAATTTTGATGATTATATATGTCATTTATGATGAAAAATGATATTTTTGAATTTTTGTTGAAAACAACAAGTCCCATTGCATTGATACTATGCATATTGTTCATTTTCTAATGATATCTTCTGTTCTTTAATTGAAATGTGCATTGCTAACAGCGGAGCTATCTCATCCGACAGGCTGCTTGTTGGTCGTCCTATTTCATTTCAAAGAGTTGTACATTGTGTAGTAATACAAAAATGTTTGCATTTGGTCTGATTGACTGTAAGACATTCTGCTGTGAAAATTTGCTGATGCCTCACCTTACCTTGCATATTTTTAATCCCTGTTAATACTATTCATTCCTGTTATGGTTTCAGAATGAATCAGAGTTTGAGGCGGTGTTCCAAGAAGCCAATTTTAAGTCTTATAATCTGAGAATGCGAATCAAACAAGAGACGTACAATGTAAGAGTTTCAGTTATTATGATATAGCAATCTTTACTTTGTGATGATTTCAACACTGTTCAATTAACAGTAATAAATATTTACTACTATCAATACATTTTTAAACTGAATTGAACTTAAAAAAATTCTTCTTTTGCTGCGTTATCTCATCATGAATGCTGCAAAAATCATATGATTGGAATTTCATTATAACATTACTGCAACGTTTGTCCAGTTTTAACTTGCAATTTTATGTTGAAATATTTTATCATGGGGGTTTACAACGTTTTCTTCTTGCACTTGTGTGTTATAGATTATCCAAAACACAGCGGGACTGTTATTAGTAAAAGTATAACAAACTGATTGACCGTGTTTTTATTTTTTTCGCAGGATGAAACTCGTTTGAAATGTTCATGTGTTGAAGCCAAACCGCTTGACTACAAGGAGCATAGCAGGAGGCTAATCCAGGACCTCAAAACAATGATATCATCATAAAAAAAAAGAAAATCTATCAACTTTATCACAGTCAACACTGTGTTGAGGTTTCACATGTATATAATCATGTCAGATTAGGCAAAGCCATTTGTCTTCTTCATTACTGAGATTAGACGGTGATAAAGATTATACCATCCTATCTCTTTAGCTGATGTACTGCCTTTGGTCATATGATATAGACATAATCGGTAAACCGCAAAGTGCATTTTGGTAGAGATGTATTGTCCTATATGTGTTGTAACGTGTTGACATCCACTGTGACATAGAAAAACTTTCTTCTAATATAAATATATATACATTTTTATTATTTCAATTTTTTGTTATTTACTCATTGGCCAGGCTTGTTGAGGAACCTTTTTTCTACTGCTGTGAGTTGTCCTTGTAGCTAATCAGAGGTATGTTACGTTAACGTTGTACCGTCTTGTAAGTGATGTGTTTATCATATGTTCTCATTCATTTGCATATCCACAAATGTGTAAGGCCAAAATGCGTGTCAAACTCAGTCGTCTGTCTTGTTAAGGCCAGACTTTTATTATCCCTTGTTTCGCGAACCCGCCGAATGAACAGGAGCTGAAAATGAAATAAAAATAACATTTTATTTCAGCGTAATTTCTCGCTGCACTTGTAAGTGCAAAAAATTGCTAAATAAAACTTATTTTTATCTTCTTTTTTTTTTCGTCCATCGCATAACAAACCCAAGTTGCATTTTCGTGGGAGTATCATGATCAAAGTACTGAAGTCTCGCGCAGATGAGAAACAAGGTTATACATGGAATAACATTTTATTTCATTTCTTCTCTCCGATCAATGATCTCACTTACAATTCTCTGAGAATCACACAAATCTAATGGAAAAAAAGAATTTTATTTTTTTTCCTGCCCTTCTCAAAAAAATTGCCTTAGAAAAACTCGAGAAACAAGGAATAAAAAAAGTCTGGCCTAAGCCAAAATAAAATAGTGCATTGCCAGTAACCCAACTGATTTTGCTGCTAGTCCTGTATCATTTTAACTGGAAGAGCACAAACTTTTTACTTGTAACCTGTACACCTACACCATTGTGTACAGTATTTGTTCTATTAGTTACACTTACCAAAATAACAGGTGTCTATGGTTTAAAATAAGTAGTGTTTTAAAGATCCATGTACAATTTTGTGTTCAATTTTGCATTAGTGTTGCTCTTCTAAAAAATATGGCATTATAACGACTTTATTTGAAATAATCACCCACATAACAAATTATAATTAGTAAACTGATACTAAAAAAAAAATGATTTAGCCTTTTAATATATAAATACACTTCTGTTTGTCAGTACTGCATGTTCTTGGGGGAGAGGGGGGGTTGCTATACATATATTTTTTTTTCATGTTTCAAAGTGTTTGTTCCAGACAAGCTAAAAAAAAACCATTGTAGTAATAATAATTTACTTGTATTTGTGTATTTCTATTGTGTAGATTTGTTATTTTGATAAATTGTTGTGGCATTTATGTTTTTCATAATATATATATATATATATATTCATATACCATTTCATTGAGTTAAAGGTATTTTTGGTTAATATTAAATGTACAACTATACCTAGTTGCCTTGTATGTTTACAGGTGTTATTCAGTATGCTTCATCATCAGAGTGGATTGTTTTGTATTTTAATACTGCACACTGCTGTTTATTAAACTGTTTTCATTGACCAACCATTACCACATTGAGCCTGGCTATGAGTCATTGCTTCTGATCATTGTACAATCAAAATAATTTGGGTTTCAATCAACAATATTTATTCCAACGCGTCTCCCCCCCCCCCCCCCCCCCCCAGTGTTTATGTAGTTGAATTACAAACCTCTTAGAGGCTGGGAAAAAAAAAAATTGAATGATTTGATTTTGAACTTATATTTTAAGACTGTTTTCATTTCTTCAATTTTGGTTAAAAAAAATTATGTTTTCAACTTGTTTATGAAAAACAGCCGATTGCTTTCAATATTTGATATATATGTACCTCAGGTTGACCTTTCTCAGATTTTTTGTTTTTGCATTTGGTGGCAACTTGGTCAATTCTCTAATTATGTTGAATATTGTAATTTTTAGTAAAAAGGTACATTTTCGACTTCCACAAAATATCCTGATTGCTTCATTATTTTATATGTAGAAACTTTGGGTAGATGACTGATTGCCTTGATATTTATATGTGGGTCGTCGTTGAACTCCCTCAGACTTGTTGATTTTGACAAAAACTAGTTCTCTAATTTTAGTGAATGTTTGTTGGTAAAAAAAAAAAAATATTTGACGTATGTATGTAGATGCCTTGGATTCGATCACCCCTATCTGATGAGAGTTGTTGAACTGTGTAATAACACGCGATTGCCTCAAAGTTGAGTTTGTGCTGTTTTTTTTTCAATTTCAACCGTTGCCACAGGCTTTTACAATAATACTTGGTACAGTTGTACATGTCTTGGCAACACAGATCGTTCTGTAACATAGCTCTGCCCCCGAGAACACTTCGTAAAAATGCCTGACAAATTTATTTTGATATTATCTGTGACCATCGCCCTCTAGTGGCAGTGTGGAATTTTTCATACTAGACTTTGATCATAGAGGGAGCCCTCTGATAAATCAATGAAAGTCTTGTTCAGAATATGGAGGTTTATACCTCCATGAGAACCTGAAGGTCATTATTAATAAAGAAAAAACATTAATTGAACAATAAATCAGAATGTTTTTTGATTTTAACAAGCAAAAATTCTACACATATTACCAAAATACAATGTGGAGAACTTTTATCGCTTTCAACTTTCCTGACAGTGACTCAATGTACACAGCGCCCTCTCGTGATGATTTTTGAAAACTAAGTAGAAAGACGGAGTTTTCTGTGGGGAAAAAACATACCGGTAGATGTTCAAATAACAAATTTCCACAATAATTTATGTAGGAAAACTAAGTTTCCTATAAACCAGACAAATACTTGTACTTCTACCAGCTTATTCAAGGATAAGTGCACTATGATCTTTTTCACTACCAGACTTCCTCGCCCAAATTGTGCTCCACTTTTGTTGTATTCTTCAACATACAAGCGAGTCAATTTTCACGGGCTATTTTTGTCCCAATCTTCTGGAGGAAAGATTATAATGAAACTATTTTGTGAATTTGTGATGAAAAGGGGAACTGGTGGTGAAAGGATTATATTGAGGGTCATGCTATATTGTTTTTTAGCCACTTAGCAAACTGAGAAAAATTTATCTCTACTTTAGTCATGTGACCTCTTCTGTCTGTATACCCATGGTATGTTTGATGATTGTAAATTGCCACACTTGTAATGATATGCAGAGTGTAATCACTACAGATAATTGATGGTTGTCGTATCCCTGCAAGTTCGTCAACAGGAATTCACGTCAACTTTTGGTGTGGAGATCTAGCGTCTCCAAGGAATTTTACCTGGCAGAGTCTCGTTAATTACGTTAATGTACAATTAGGAGGTATGAAAATGTTATACTGCAGCACCATCCTGGCTTGTGTGTTGTCACAGTGTACACAACTCTGTTATATAGGAAATTAGGTCAATGACCTGCATCTGCTTAGCTATTTCACTGTGCTTTCACAAAGCTTGTGTCAATTTTGGAATTGTTGGTTCAAACCCAGAGTGTTTGCTACTCAAAAATTTACATGTAAATGATGACTATGGTCACTAAACAAAAACGGTCCATTATTGAAAGTAAGAGTCGTATTTTGTTGCAATGTCAAGGCAATGAGTAATATTACTGTACATAACTTGTAAACGGTTAACGTAAATCAGACCTTGCATCTACTAACACTGTTTTAGTTTAGGAGAACTGTCTACTTCTGCAACTACTGAATAAATTGCCCAAGGATGGGATTGAAATCCATAACAACAACAGCAGCAGGTAGAGCCTCTTGACAACTGAGCCATTGTGGATTCTGATAGACGTTCTCAGCAAATACCGGTAGATGCATTAAAATAGTCATTTCAAAGTCATGTGGCATGCACTTAAATGTTCATGAGAAAATGACAAATGTAATTCACTATTGGCAACGGTTGATAGAATTCAGGAATACTGATGGTCTTTACATTCTTTTATCAAAATGTTTATGGGGGAATAAGCAAGTATTGTTGAAGGTGAAAATGTTTGTGTTGATTGAGGTGCTAGAACAAACTGATTCATCAAATAACATGTTTTTATTAATATAATAAAATAATATTTGCAGTTAACACAACATACAAATTCTTAATGGTGTCCACATATTGAGAACAAGCTGTAAACGTAATTTCCATATTTGGTATTACTCTAACTTGTTTTTTTTTAAATGTATATAAATATTCTATAAAAAGATGGCAGCAGAGGTGGGCAACAAACTATCTACTGGTTTACATGCAGAGAGGTGGGATAACTATTATGGGATGTCTTGTGTGCACAATAAGACTTCTGTAAAGCAGACTGCTACAAGATGCATTGTAAAACCTTGTATGTTAGTCTACACTAGATCCACTGGATTAAAAACTTTTTAGTTTTGTTCTTTTTTAAAATTTACTGTAAACTGCCAAAATGTGCATTGTTTGCTATTTCATGATTTGGGAGCTTTTGAGAGAACAACATTTTGTGATATGCACCAACTCCCTAGGACCTCTGTTAAATTCACTGCGACTCTCTAGGACTCTAGTTAAAGTCACTGACTCCCTAGAACCCCAGTTAAAGCCACTGTGACTCCCTAGGGCCCCAGTGAAAATCACTAGGACTCGCTGTTTTAGGAATGACAGTGAAAACCCAACTTTTACATTGTTTTGTGATTTTTCCAGTCACGCAAAATATGCGAAAATTCCTATTTTGTGAAATTAAAGCAGTTTACATAAGTTTTAACTTTAAAAAGAAACATTACAAGAAGACAACTGTTAACGATGGACACTGCTAACACACTTGCGACAAAAATTACCTGAAATTTTGTTAAATAATTCTGTGACTGAAGTCTGAAGAAAAAAATTTGGATACCCAAACTAGTTTTTGAATTCTGAAACTAGATTGCATGCATTTAGACTATTTTTCAAAATGGCCGCCATAGAAGGATTTCACATTATGGGGGAAATAATAAATACATTGCTTCCATGGAAACAAGTCTGAGTACCCATACTTTTTATTTGTTCTTTGTAATTTATGTGATGGAAATTCTCATTCAGTATCAAGAATTTGCAGTATGATAATAAATTCTTTACATTTTTCTAGTTAATCATGTCCATCTTTAACAAATGGGAATACTGATGAGAAATTAGCACACAAAGCGCTGACCCTTTTTGTTAGGCTATTCTAAAACTATTCATTAAATAGTGATATCTGTTAATACAGTATATTTGTAAATATCTTCAACTCAATGTCTATTTTGAATATTATAGCTGTTGTAAAATACACACTGCTGTAAAAAGAATTGAAAGAATTATCGTATCAATGTTGCCATGACAACAATACCGAGAGTAAACGTAGTAGTGGTTATAATTAGATTTTTGCAGCAAATTACTAATAAGTATTAATTTAGTGGTGTAGAAAATATTTCAAAGTTACCATAGAAATAATGCTTGGTGAAGTATTGGTTCCTATCACTTACAATGCATTGTGGTCTAGCCATCACTGATCAGGAATAAGGTAAATTATTACAAGGCTGCTTATGTTTGAAAAAGCACACTATGCAATCAGATATGGATTTTCAGTCTAGAATGGTCAATATTGGAGACACTCCATGTCAGTCCGTGTGTAGTACTGGTCCATAATGGAGACTCCCCAAAATGGTCCAATTGAATTTGATCAGTATAATAACTAAACAATGCATTGTTGAATGACTCAACTAATACTTACAATCAAAAACAGTAGAATGCTTCAATTTCCACTTGGAATTTATTGTGGCAATTTTAGCTAAATTGCATTTCTAAGCAACCATAAATTCCAGTTGAAAACAAAATAATCCACAAAAATGGAAGAATAAAGATGGCAAGTTGGTTATGTATCCAAATAATGCCATCATTACATGTAAAGAGACGAGGTGTACAATAAATACAATAAAATAACAACAGTATATATAAATACAGTCAAAGTATATTTTGCAAATATATTACATAAAAATGTTGGTCTTTCTTCATATAAAAAAGATAAAAAATAAGTTTAAAAATACATATTTTTCTGAAAACTAACAAAATTGTTCTTAGAAAACTCAACACTTGCAATGTTGACTGTGTTCCTTATGTTTAAATAATAACACTTGACATAATCTATTCATGTACCCACAATTCCTGGCTGTTTACACATACTTCGTTAAGCCGATATTTCACGTTGTTTACAAAGCCTCAGTTTCCTACATATTGCAAGTGTTCGGGACGATTCAGCATTTTCCACGCATGTTCATATTTTCTAGATTTTTCAAGTGATTATCATGTTCGAGTCATGCCATCTTTAAATAATTCATCACTCGTCACCAAATCAAATCATATCCTCTAAGTGCCTCAGTTGATCGGAATGACCTGGCACCGTGAGCACCTGACCTGGAAGAACAAAGGTTAAACTGTAAATAAAAATGTTTTGTCATCATTTTTAACAATTGTGAGGTAAAATTTTTTTTCCCCTAAAATATGACAGTGAACAAATTGTGCAGCTTAATCAAACTGTTAACAAAGCGTACTATGCATTGGAGCAATAAGTAGAAAAGAAAAAAAAAGCCCACTCATTCTTTAAAAGTGTGCATACTGAACAGATCTAATCAGTAATAACTCTATTAACCTGTTCACCTTGCACAGAATATCTTGCATTACTTTTTAAATATTTTTTTAACAAATTCATGATCAAGATCAGTATGCAAAGAACAAGTATGTCCTTTTTGGTCCAAAATTTAAAAGAAACCGAGAAAAATCAATAAAAATGATATGACATTGCGTAACTCTTATCTGCAAGTCAATGTAAAAGTACATGGGGCTGGCAGGATAAGGGTTAATGGAAGGGTTACAAAAAAAACATCATTGGAGTAAAGAAGTAGGAAGCAATCTAATGAAGTCTAAATGGAGAAATGTACAAAAAACACGGAAGCATCTTTTACTTCTTGAGGGACGCAGACCACCCACCAACTATAATGACGAGTGCCAAGTACAATTAACATAAGACTTCAGTTTTAATTTAAAATTTGGAATCGTATAGATTAACCAATTAGATACGGATAATTGAAGCTAAGTAGTTAGCCGTATCCCACGTTACAAGCCAGACGTGCAAACCAGTACGATATTTGCTCTATTAGTGTAGCACATGCTCTTACGTAAAATACAAAGGTGTTTCTATGGTCGAAATAAGTAATATGATAATAATTTAGTTTTCAACAAATGCAATTTTCGGTTTATATGCACTTTTATTTGTGATTCTAATAAAGCAAATATGGTACTACCCATAATGCAATGCAATCAGCCAGCTGGCACAAAACAGCCTGCATATGTTTTCAGCATTTGACCAGTTTCAGGCAGTGAATAAGGTACTATGCTAAGTCAGTTTTATTTTTAGTAAGATTCATTATCATGACAAATGCTATTGGTCACTCATCACTGTACAAATAAAACAAATCCAACGGGTCTTAGAGGTTTACTTTCAATAGATCGCGCGAAGCGGCTGCTCTGATCAATTTTGACAAATTAATTTGAAAATAGAATTTATTTGTCTTCCATTTAGTAATTTATTAAAATGTAGATTTGAAAACCGATTGGACTATTGAAATATGAAATTAACTATGGATAATATATGCGTAGACTCACCGTCTTGGTTCGTATAAAGCACAAGTGACTGCATAAGTGATGTTGGCCGGGAACCTGAATAACAATTATTTCTAGAAGTTTGACATCGAACACGTCCCTTGGAAGATGTAGAATGATTTCGTACTTGAGAAGACTTTCTCGTTCCTTTTTTCACCTTGGTGACATTTCTACTTTCCTTATGGCACTCCTCTTTTTTCCGCTTTGCTCCTAATTGTTCTTGCTTAATGTGGATACTGTCTGGTAGCCGTAGCAACTGCGTACAAGCCATACACTGGCCCGTACTTGTAAATGTATGCCTGAGATTTAAGTTAGAAGGAAGCTCACATGGCTTCTTTTCACAGTTTGTAATGCTGTCTGTAGAATGACTAGCCGTCATGCCATTATTTTCCTTAATTTTTGCAGATACGTATGGTTTATTGTTGCGGAGCATACACGTGGGCGTTAACCGCGCTGCCGAGAGATTCTCCATGGAGTTAGATATGTACCTGCCTTCAGGATCTGAAGTTCTTCGAGAATAAACTAACGCATCAACGCTGTGTGGATCGCTGCGAAATGTTGACGAGCTGCCGTAGACACTTTGATTACTACCTGGGTCTGTGGTTGTCGTTTCCTCGCACCAAGGTGCTGACAAACTACTTGACGATGACGAAGCATCCATATTATTACTCACACTTGCATCATATCCACTAGAGCAAGCATCCGTCGGTTTACGAACCTGCACAATGACCGGAACTATTCGGTGCTGATATTCATCAATCACCATCGGTTCCTGCTGGTGTCGGAGCCAGTTGCCATGGTGATCATAGTAAGAGCGTGTGTGACATTGTCTGTGGTTGGCTGAAATCACATGTGGACAGTAATTCCAATTTCTGTTTGGTAAATCATTTCGACAGCACGCTGACGCAGTTCGGTCATTATTTAGATTCAATGGATGGCGTCTGATAAAATCCTGGTCTCTAACGTTCGTTTCATTATTGTTTCTTGAGGCACACACAATATTAGTCCCTTGTATAGCATTTGCAGAAGACATGGATCTTGAAGAAGACTGTTGTCGCCTTGGTAACCTGAGATTAAAAAAACTTCTTCGGTGGGACCCACCAGAATGTTGTGACCCAGCCTCGTTTGCTGATAAGGCACTAGCAGTGGAGGGATACTCTGAAATAATAAACAAACATTTATTCGAGGAAACATTATTAATCAATGATGATTAGAACAGTATTTCAAGTTCAATTATATGTTAACTAATGAATTATTAATATCTATAGTAATTTTTCAATGATTGCGACAGACTTAGATCACATTTCAAAGTTTAGTAAAGCCCTTGATATGGTAACTATGGTATCCTGACCAATAATGAGATGCATATATTCAGTATCATTTTTAAGCACCAAGTTGGAATTTTTTTCCCTCAAAAACATTAATAACGAGCAATAAATTGATACTATAAGAAAATTAAACAAAACAATAAACAACTTTTTCCAAATATCAAACAGAAAGGTTTAGACTTACCTATTATGTTATGAAGGCACAAAGGACACGTCCTGTTCTTGATTAACCAGGGATCTACGCAGTGTCTATGGAATTCATGGGAACAAGACACAACCCGTAATTCCTAAGGACAAAAATGAAACAAGACACTTCAAGTTGGTAATAATTAACCAATGTAATTAAGCAATACACCACGTCCACATGGTGGTATAGCCGATGGCAGACACAGTACACAGACAGTGACTGTAAGGCTCTCATCAAAATATACACATTGATAGCATGTGTGTATGACCAGGAGGAGGGGGGGGGGGGTACAGTCATTTTTCCTGATATATGGTAATATAATGCATTACAAAATTAATGAAAATCACCCCAAGCCTTTAGAACATGTCTTTTCAGCTAGCATGTTATTTTATTCAAGATGTGTCTGATTTAAAAGAAAGTATATTTTCACAAAATTTGATTGACGACATCTAAGCTATAAATTTAGATTTGTGCATTGTGTCGATTTAAAGTGTTGTACATTACATCAATCCCCAAAACAGGGAAGGTTACGTCATGACCCTCCAAGGCAAGAAAGATTACTTCATGCCCCCTCTAAGGCAGGGGAAGATTACTTAATGTCTCCAAAGGCAGGGAGAGATTACTATCATACCCTCAAGGTAGGGGCGATTGATCTCCCCTCCCCAAGGTAGGGGCGATTACTTCATGCCCCAAAGGCAGGGAAGATTATTTCATGCCCCCCAAGTCAGGGGAGATTACTTCATGCCCCCTAAGTCAAGGGAGATTACTGCATGCCCCAAATAAACCACTCCTGTATGTACATACATTTGTCAGTGTATTCAAAAGCTGTAAGGTCAAGTGTATGGGCTAATTTCCATATACTCAAGGAGGTACTACATTCCATTTTGTTTTCATTTATCAGCCAACGGAATTTTCACAGCATTTTTTTTTTTGTACAACTCGTGCTTTTAATCCTTTTGTTTAATTGGTGGAGTGCTATTATTATTGTTGATGGGAAATCTACCTTGTTAGGTTTTTAAAAGAAAATTTCATTAAAATGTGAAAATTTATAAATAATTAAGTGACAGTTGTATTTGGAGCACTCGTGTGTTAAAATATTCATAAATGACCTTTTTAATTAAAACGCATCTATTTATGCAAATTTACAAATTATGTTTGCATAATAATCCACCCTTGACCTCATCTGTTGAAATTCCCAGCTCCCAGAGGCCACACACACACACACACACACACACACACGTAGTACAACACTTCTAAAAAGTCAAAAGTCATTAATGAATACTTGTGCATTATTATACCTGAATACTGTTTGAATACACGACTTTTCTTTGACACTCACAATGAAAGGTACACAGACAAAACACCAGTGTTACACAGTATCTCGAAGGACTTTTTGGTTGCCGCTAGCAACTGCTTGTCAATCAATATTTGAGATCACCACCAAAATTCTCACTGAATAATTGAAGTGAAGCAATGAAGGTCACGACCTCAGTAGTCAATTTTACGCATACACTGTGTTGCATAACAAAACATAGCAAAACTGATAATACCTTGCCTTTGTATCAATGTATCCCTACACCATATCACCAAAGGAAAGGTGGCTAAAAATATACCCAAATTTAGGCCATGCGTTCATCAATCAGAAAGCTGACCAGTCCGTGACAAAGGACGCTTATTCTCGGCAAATATTTGCCCTCGCACTTAAACTCTATAACATTCACGAACAAGCGAGACAAAAAAAAAACTTACATCACCGTCTTTGAATTGTTCCAAACATATAGCACAGATATAAGAATCCGAGTTTATACTCCAGCTCTCGCGGCTGTAATTTGAAAGGCTCCCGCTCATCCGCAATTCAGACTTTCTAAATTTTCTAGTTTCCATTTTGGATACGGCGTATTCAGCTAGTCTCGTTAATGATGTCTGTGATGAAACAAGATGAGCATTCAGTACTTAGCAACAAAAGATGTGGGGGATGGACATCTATTCATATCATGGCTACTAAATAAAATCTAATGATTTTTAAATCATAAGTAAAATTATTAAGTTTTGTCAGATTAACAAAGTATATCAATAAACAATCACATAATGTTACACACACTGCTGGTAAAATAAAGTAGTATTTATTTATTTCCAGATTAACTCACCTGTTTCCGCCTCTGTTTCCATTTTATTTTTAATAAAAGTAATAAACATATTATTGAAATCAAGACAAAAAACGCCATAAAAATTCCCATATTAAAATACTCATTGGAATTCCGTCTCTGAAAAAAAAAAAAAAAATAATGCTGCATTTAGAGTCAAGGCACAGAAAAATAATTGAATTAAACAGAAATTTGTTTATTGTAGATTTCATGATGTCCCCCCTTCTACTCAACAAGTGAATCATTTTGCAGGTCAATTTGGTGTTTGGCGTAACTGAGAAGAGCAAGATTACACTATTATTTCTAGATAATTAGTCAAATATGGTTATATCTTGAGGTTAGCTCAAGTATATTTTATGTCAATGCCAATTACCAGTTTAGTCAATGTGTATATACAAGACAGAATTTGATAAGTCAAAACAAATCTGTCAATAAACAAGCTGCTCTCTGATTGGTCTGACTTCAGCGAAAATAAATTCCAAGCGAAAATAAAGTATTCTACAGTATATAAACTATATTTCAAGATGTCCAATAAAATATCACATGAACAGTATAAATATAAACAATATAAAGTACAATATTATATTGTGCTCGGAAAAATAATGCAAAAAATCGAGAAAATTTCAGAGACAAAATTGAACGTAAACATTTTATGTGATACGCATCTAAGCAATTATTAGTCAGGTGACTGCACACACAGTCTAGATTACAGATTACAATGCATTGCATTAAATTGCATACCAGGTGAACTAACATCTGGGTCACTACAGTAGACTTATTTCAATAGCTACACCATAGACCCTACACACACAAAGTGGTATGAACAGAAATATACAAACCTGCGAACTGAGAGACGGTACTGTATACTGAATCCTGGCTCTAGCTACGCGTTGTTTACTAACGATGTTCATCAACGTAAAAGCCGATTCACCTCGAATTATTATAATTGGACGATCCAGGGGTTTCTCAGCTCCTAATTTGTTCAACTGCAACATAATAAGACAGTGTAAGCCAATCACTCTACCAGGTCTTTCACTGTTGGTACCTCTAAATCACTAATAAATTTTGTCACTACCATGTTTACTCTATTAGATGCCTATCTCGAATAAAATTTTACATAAAATTAACACATCTCTGTCATTTACTGAAGTGCATGCACAACTAAAACAGGAAATATGGTGTTTATCTGAATAATCTGACTATGTTCCATTAGTAGAATTCTCGTGACCAATTCTGAATTGAGTTTCTACATTCACATGTAGTATATCGTAGTAATAGTCTGCATTCATTTCATTTTATTTGCATTGTAGTAATTTGTGTACATTTGTTTTGCTATTTGGTCCCCAGACAGTAATACACACTATGACATCAAAATCACCAACAGCAACGCATTACTTAGATACATTAGTCATACCTGTTCGGCGGCGGATGGATCATCAGTAATATCAAAGATAACGGCTGTAGCACCTCTCAGAATAGCACGTTTTGCCTGAAAATAAAAATAATGTCAGAATAGAAAATTTAAAATTAAAACAATAAAAAATACTTAAATTTCTTTATATTTTTAAACTGCTGATAAGTAATACCACAATTGTTTATAATGCGTGTCATATCCTGTTCGGTTACGTCTGACACCAGTCAATTCGTTCCGAATGTGTGTGCATATAAATAGTCAAACGTGTTCAAATTGAGCAATTTATGATAGAGCAAATCTTTGAAATAACTGTTTTTTTAAAGTACCACCCTTTAACCCTTTGATAATTCTTCTCAACAAAATTTTACATTTTGCCAATTTTGTATGTATGTTTTTACATTTCTTTTGGTCATTTTGGATCAAATAAATTCAACTTTTTATTGGCTACAAGTCTGGATCAATATTTTGGAAAAATTATGAAAAAAATTATGAGGATTTAGAATTTGTGAATGTTGACAAAAGTTGACTTTGTTTATGTGTACATTTATTTAACAACACGAAAGAAACGTATAGGCATTTAAATATCACGAAATAGTACAATATGTTTGCATTAGTGAATAACGGATGATTTACATTTGTTAAATGATGGATGACTAGTCGACTGTCATCAACTCTTTGTGATATCAGTCGGTATACTATGTAGTGACTGATTAAACCATGTCGGCGTCTGCTCGGCAATTTTCAATCGCATTGCCCGACCCATTATCGCTTGTTTTTTTGTCCTCCCTCCCTGGACTGGCGATAGTGTTATCATGCACGCGTCAGTGTTGGTAATTACTAATAGCTTTTATAGAAATTGAACAAATATTGTAATTAGGGTAAAAATTAAAATAATAAGGATAAGACTAGTAGCAACAGTGGCTAAATATTATTAGAATTACTGTAAAAGCATCAATTTCACTGGATTTTAATTTCACTGTTTTGATACTGTAAAACACTTTATAGTAGCTGGAATTAATTGTTGCTGTTTTGTATAAGGTTTATTTATACTGATTTTTGAGAAGTTGAATATAAATTCTAGAAAAGGTGTTTGCATCGATGTTATTCTCACAGATTCATCACTTCACTGAAAATAAATTTCATTACAGTATTAAATCACTAGAGGTAAATTCCACAAATTTTCCTGAAAAAAATGAGTTCTACAGTAAGTGTACATATTCACAACGATTTAACAAATTTCACTCATCAGAAACAGTGATTTTAAAACCCAGTGAATACTTAATGATTTTACAATAAGTTGCTTATAAGATAATTAACCCCATATTGAATTGACGATTTATAAATTTTATCAGTGATCACTGAAATTTGACACATGTTATCTAAAAATAATAATTTAACTGCCAAAAACTTGATAATGGATTTAAGCACAGCTTGACAGTTTTCAAGCTGGGGATAATCTGCCCACAGATTAGATGCTAGTTTAGGTAAGCGAAATATAATTTAAAACGTTTCAATATTAAAATTATTATTTCATGTGAAAATTTGTTTGCTAAAAAAGAAATTATAATATTTTGTGAACTACTGCACCGCAAGGAACAATATTATTGAGATTTCATCTTCAATATGATATTCCACAATTTACAAAATAACTACCAATATTTTTTCGCCAACATCACTTATCACATTTCTATGAATTTTTATACAATTTTATTATGAATTTTAGAACGAATGCACATAATTTCGCAAAGGCTATAGGTTATGATCAAAATTCTTTAAAAAATAAGAAAAAAATGCATTTTTTTTTTATGAAAGATGACAAAAACAAAAATTGGCATTCAAAAAATTTACTCAAGTTTTTTGGTAAACTCAATTTATCACATTTCACTTTTGAGGTTATTTTGATGACAAACAGTATACATCAATTTGGTTCGAAATGATATTAAAATTGATGAAGACTACAAGAAATGCGTTTCTAGGGATTCCGCATCAATTATTTCCAGCTGTTTACTCTATCACTAGGGTATGCGCTTATGTAAATATTTTAACAATCTAGGATACAATAAAAGTAACTGATGGGTTAATGAGGAGATGTGCTTCTAATGGAGCAAATATGGTACTTAGACTTGGTACCAAAATTTGATATATGGATTAAGAGTAGAGGCTCTTTACCCAGATCAGATGAGATATGGTTCGCATTCAGACACTACAGTGATTTAAAAACTGTAAATATTTATTTTTATTTAATTCCTGAAATCTGAGACTGCAGGAAATAATGGGGATGAAGCAAACTGATACCACTTCCATATTAAGTAATTTAACTGATAGCAGTCAAAATGTTATCACAACTTTTGTAGGAGACTTAATTTTCAGATAATGCTCCCAGTATGATCAACATGGCAGGATGTGGTTCAGTCAGACACTCTCGACTTAAATGGAAATGAAGATAAGTACTGGCAGTAGAACAATTAATCATGCTACTTTTTTGGCTAAATTGGGAAATAACAGAATTTAAGCTGGACTAATTAGATTAAAAGACGATTTAGAGAGAAAGGTGCTGGCCATTTTTTATTCTGGTCATTTGTTTATGTCACCTAACTACCTATACAAATCCCAATCATGCAGCAATTCTCTATTAGGATTTATCAACCAATTACACCATACCTTATTCAAAAAACGACCTGTAACAGAACATTTGATTGGTACGTGACCTAATTCATTGCCAATCTGGTGTGATATCTTGTGAAAATAGAATGTTGGG